GGGGGGGGGGGGAGTGGTCATACTTTTCTTCTGAATTTCGAAGTGTGTAAGGCTAGGGTAGGAAGGGCTTCGGATAGGAATTTCGCGGTTGAGGCTTAATGGCATTGACCTAACTAAAATTCCCTGCAGCCGTTAATTCACGGTTTCGCTGGTGCTTGCCATCATGTAGGGGCCGGAGATTGGGCAATAATGTGGCCTCATCGCCCCAGTATGACTATAACTATGCTGAAATATACCCCAAGACCCCATTCAAGTGGTCCCTAGACTACTTACGGCTGCAAAAGTTAAGCGAAACAGGTGAGAAGAGTGCATCTTAAACCAGTTTTGAACACTGTGTTCGGGGGAAGAGACTACAGAATCAATCTGGCCGCTTCACTCGCCAAGCGTTTGCTCAGCGCAGCAGAACATCTTCGATACATCTTGCCGGGTGCAACGGAATGTACTGTATGGGGGAGGGGCGGAGAGCTTAATTCAGAATTTGCCAAAGATGCCTGAAGAATCTCCAATATCATTCCTTAGCTTTCCTGAATTATTCATACTATAATGTACCCCGAGACCCTCTTTTGGCTATGCAGGCCTCTATATTGAGGCCCCTGCAAAAGGAGCTCTTGGAGGTCTTGAGTTGGAGTTTTATGGTTGAAGGTTTAAGACTTTCGGGATGAAGGAGGGGGGGCATTCGGATAAAAATTGGCATGACTAGGCCTAGGCTGCCTAGCTGCATGTCATAGGGGTATCTGTAGCATGCGGAGAGACTTTTGATCAGAGGCGGATAGGGGCTTTCATGATTCAAATTCTTCTGCAACCGTTTGTGGGAACGGTTCGTGATAGCCCCTGACGGGCTTCGGTAATATGGCGCTTCGCCTTCCTTACGGTTGTCACACTGAATTGTCCAGATTGGGTTTAGATTTGGAAGGTACATAGCTTGCAGGGCTCATGATGCCATCGAAAGCTGCTAGCATGTTCTAGCCATTGGAGTCTGGTGCTGTGCCGGTGGTAGAGATCAGGCTAAGCTAAGGAGCCCGAAACCAAACTATCTCTAAAGCACCTTTAACCCTAAACCCTAAAACCTAGAACGCCTCTTGGGCTTGCAGCCGGAAACTTGGTTGCCCAGGCAATGCACGTCCTGGAGTATCTGGACGAGGCGTTGCATGTTCTAGGTCATGCTTTTCGGCATCAAGCATATACCACAGCCTGAACAAGAAGACACAGTTCATATCGACCTTAGGGTGAGGTTGTATCGGGGTCTCGGTTTTTGGGTTAGGCAGGTTGGCAGCATTGGGGTTCGACTCTTTTCGGGCAAGGGGGCCTAGTCTTCTAGCGCACTACTATTCGTTGTCTTCGTTGATTACAGCATTAGTTGACAGTATTTGTGATTACTGATGTTGTCACTGTTGGGGTTGATGTTTGTTTGCGAGGGTTTTGTTCGGAGAGAAGCCCGGTGATTATCAGTTGTCGATATTCAGCTCGAATTCGTGAGCCGTGTGCTGATGCACGAGACACTGGGCTATTTTGGATCTATAGGTCTAGTTTGCAGGGTATAGGATACATGCAAAAACAGACTTCGCAGTTATTAAAAGTTATTCGACGCTCGGAGTCAGCATTGCGGTGGGTTCTGCTGCTGCTGCTGCTGCTGCTGCTGCGGGATGTGCATGGCTCCAACAGCAGTTCAAAGTTGAAACAATGGGCCGGTAATATTTCTCCAAGCATCCTGAGGGGCTGGTAAGTAAAACTTGAGCTTTGGATAGGAGTACTGCTATATCTGGATTCTGGGGAGTATGTGCGTGACTCACGTACCCAGGCCGGAAGCAAATGGAGCTTGAGTTTTGACCCATGGCCCATAGGTCTTATCTGTCAGACTTCGTTCTCCATTTCCCCCCTTCGCCCCGCCCCAAACCCTAAACCCTAAAACCCCCCCGTTCGGACTTCGCCCCGCCCCCTCCTCAAAAACAAGAAAAGAGCCACAACGATAAGTCCGAGTCTCCACAGGTGCAGCGTCGTCTGGATGACATCAGCAAGAACTTCCTGTACCTCAATGACCGACCTTATACCCAAACCCTAGACCTAAACCCTGAACCCTAAACCCCAAACCCTGAACTCTCTCTCCCCTCCCTCTCTATCCCTCCATGTCACACTCTCTCTCTCTCTCTCCCTCCTTCACCCTCCCTCTTACTCTCATCCAGTCTGAAGCACGAAGGAACTGTGTCTTTGTTGTGGCCTCCGTTAGTCTGTAAGCCGATCCACCCGCGTTAGACTCAGACACCGGGGTCCAACTTGAAGCCCTAGCGGTCAGTTTAGGGGTTAGACGGTTAGACTTTAATTTAGTCTTTGTAGGGTTTTGAGTTCAGGGTTTAGGGTTTAGAGTCAGGGTTTAGGGTTTAGGGTTTAGAGCTTAGGGTTTAGGGTTTAGAACTTAGGCCTTGAAACTGAAAGGCTTAAAGGCTTAACTCTAACGTCCACGGTTTAGAACCCTATAACTCCCAATTCTCTGGGTTCCCACATTGAGGGCGGGGCGTCTTTAAATCAAGATCTCTTCGGGGATCCCCAGGACCGAAAGGCCAGAACTACTACCACCCACAAGGGCTCCTTTAATGTAGGGCTTGTGGTTTAGGGTGTAGGGGTTTATATAGGTTAGGGTTTAGGGTTTAGGGTTTAGGATTTCGGGTGTAGTCCTTCAGGGATCCTGTGCTACAGGTCACAGGTCTTGTTGTTAGTTATGCCTACTACGGAGAAGGTAGCTCGCATACAGATGACCCAGATTTCATCGGAGCTTCTAAAGCTTAGGGTTTACCAGGACCCCCCACCAAGCATCCTATACAGGGCTCTGATATCTCACATTAAGAGGTAATTAGGGGCTTCAGTTGGCTTCAATAAAGGGTAGTTGCAAGGGTCCAGGTGTTTAGAGCTCAACATAGGGGCCTAAATAATTACCAATACTTTTTTGGGTGGCTCCTTACTATAACCCTAGGGCTCCAAGTATACAAATAGTACCTACTTTGGGGTCTAAAGTCTGCAAATAGTACCTACTTTGGGCTATTTGGAGCCCCAGGGTAATTATAGTACTTGTATAACATACCCCCAAACCCTATTGAACTCATTATTAAGGGCCCCTACAGTAGAGTTGTCACCCGTAACTCCGTGTCCTTCCGCCTTATGGAGTTGAGTCTGGAGGGGTTTGACCTTGCTGTCATTTTTTCAGAATCCCTCTGGAGTTAGACCCCACATCGAAGCAAAGCCCTCCGCGGGTCCTGGAAGATCCATTTTTGGGTTTAGGGTTTTTGTTTTTTCTATTTTTTGGGGGTGGCTTTTAGTGTTAAAGGTTTAGCCTCTGAGAGACCATGCCGTGGAAGCCCTATTTGGGGGGGCCCTAAACCGTGGCTGCTTGAAGCCTTTATGTTGAGATTCCCTCGAAACAACAGGGGGAATTACCGTTTTGACTCGAGGCACCCCCCCATCCCCCCCATCCCCCCCTCCCCTCCGACATACCGAAGCTCCAAGTGCGGAGAAAGTAATTAGGGTTTAGGGTTTAGGGCAACAACCACCAGCAATTCCTGTTTGTCATTCGCTGGTTCTGAGATGTTCTGAGGTCGGAGCAGGTTAGATGCAATCCGACAACCTATAGGTTTACTACTACGACAAGACAAGAGGTAATTACGGCACACGCCAGAGTTTCCCTCCGATTTCTGAAGTCGCCCCCAAGGAAATCCTAACACTTCAGCCTATGAGCCCTCACCTTGGCTGTGGAGGACTGCTACACGCTCTTCATGCAGGATCCGCAAGACACAGACATACTCGAAGAGGCTCCAGATTCGTGGTTTCGGGGCTTTTGGGAATCCAATTTTTCAGAACCTCATCAAAACCCTAAACCCTAAACCCTAAACCCTAAACCCTGAAGCACAAAAATCACGGGGGACCGGAGGAAGGACTACGATTAGTCGTGGGTCGTTAGGGTTCCCTACTGCATGATTACGGTCTCAATCCCCCGAATACTCTGCTCTAAGTAATCGTTCACGCTATATGGTTTCTGTATATGTATGTATGCATGCATTGATGTATGTATGCATGTGTGTATGTGTACGTGCATATATACTTATATGTATCTCCTGAACCCGTCATGTGACGACTTGGGCCCTTGGCATATGTGGGTGAGTGGTAGTTTAGAGTTAAGGGTTCCGGGTTTAGGGTGGATGTCTCTGTGACGCGTGCCAATCGCTGCCTGTCACGGGTCAATGCAAATAGAGCTCTTTGGGTGGGTCGATGGAGTTCACATATAGGCAGTTTTCTTGAAGCCGCGTCTCTTCGCGAACTGCGCTAGAGCTGCGAATGTCTTCACGCCCTTCTGAACATCGTTACGATTGCACCGGACGAGCATTCCTTAACCTATTGCTATAAATCCGTCTTGCTTGTCGCTTAGACTCCAAGCGTACAAATAGCACCTACTCTGCGATGCACCTATAGTCTCCATTGTAGTTCCTTGTCTTGCTTAACCATCTTTATATTTAGGATCTTTATAAGTAACCCCCCAAAAGGAACTACAATGGAGACTACAGACTATACCCTAAACCCTAAACCCTAAAACCTATAGGCTATAGATAAAGTCTTGGAAAGGTGGAGTCTTGGGGTGCAGCTAGACCTTCCGGCTGCAGGAGTGGATAGAACCTACAGGAGGGACCTTATCCTCTTCTTGTGGTCGTGCCCCAAAAGATTCCATTTTTTTTTAGGGCTGGGCTCATATGGAGGAAAACCTAGACCTTAGGGTGTAGGGTTTAGGGTTTAGGGTTTAGGAGGATGATCAGAGACTGGGTTCGAAAAGGAGGTTCGAGACAGAGCTTTCCGGTCCCGGAAAGATGCTGAGGGGCTCGAAGAGCCTTTACATGGTTGGGTTGGGCAAGCCTCCTATGGACTGCGATGATTTGTGATGTGCCTGCCCTACATGGGGTTTAGGGGCTTCCATTGAAATTAGGGGCCTAAATTGTGAATCTTGAGAGATAAGCGTTTAGGGTTTAGGGTTCCCGAAGTCTAGGACTTGAACACTCTGACTTTACCAGTTTTACTTTCGGGTTTTGATCGAGGTTTGGATCCTTTGGTACAGTAACAAGCATCGAAACGCCAAAACACGACGGCCATGCGGACTACAGGAAACCCGAAAGAACGAAAACCCTAAGACTAAGACCGAAGCCCCCAAACCCTGAACCCCTAGAACCCTCCAGAAATCCGCAACCCTAAAGCTTCAGCAAAAACCTAAACCCTCAAACCCTCAAGGTCTACGGGCCCTACAGCTCTAAACCCCCGTACCCAAAGGATCATGAGACTTACTTAGTAGGGTTATAACTAAGGTAACTATACTTATAACCACAATTAGGGGACGTATAACCTTACTTACTAAGTCCCATGATCCTCCAACCCTAAACCCTAAACCCTAAACCCTAAACCCTAAACCCTAAACCCTTACTTACTAAGTCCCATGATCCTCCCCCTACATTGTCCACTCCAAGAGGCCCAGCAGCTGCTAAACGAGCGCTGTCAGCTCTGGGCGCGCCTTGGGAGGTTTAGGGTTTAGGGTTCAGGGTTTAGGATTTAGGGTTTAGGGTTTGGGGTTTAGGATTTAGGGTTTAGGGTTTAGGGTTCAGGGTTTAGGGCTTAGGGTCTCCATTGTAGTTCCTTTCTTTTGTGTTAGCCAATCTATATATAGGGTTTAGGGTTTAGGGGTTTAGGGTTTAGGGTTTGATCCTATAAGGTAGCCCCAGAAAGGAACTACAGTGGAGACTATAGGTAGAAGACAGAAAGTTGGAACATATTTATCCTGGTACCCTTAAGTAGGTAACCACTTCATAAGGGATCCTAGCACTAATCATCCAAAATCCATGTTCCAACTTTCTGGGGTTCGTTGTAAGGGTTCAGGATTTCGGGGTTAGGGGCCGGGGTTGAGGGCTTGAATTGGGCGTTACAGGGCTCATAGACTTCTAGGGCTTAAAATAAAGGGTCTCGGTATCTCTAGGGGTGCTTAGGGGTACTTCCTGTAGCGCTTCAGGCTACTGGGGTTTACTTACAGGCAAACTTAACTCCTAAGTAGGGTATAGGTATCGTAAAACCATGACTAAACCCAAACTCCATAAAGGAGTCACGTCACGAAACCCTACCCAGAGGCTCAGGGGACGTCATAGGTAAGTTTCCAGTAGGATTACATGTGCATGCTATTGTGCTTTGCAGATGAAAACTCTCCAGCCCTAAACCCTAAACCCCTAAACACACTTTTCGATCCCGGCAATCAAGATAACCTCGCAGAACTAAGCCCTAAACAGTGCCAAGCCGAAGTCACAAAGCTTGCATTTCCTAGGCCTTTACAAGCCCTAACATCCTGGAGATCCCAAGCACCAGAACCTAAAATCTGAGCTAAATATCATCAGAGAACGACTGATGGTTTGAAGCAACCCCCCTTCCCCACCACGCCCTCACGCCCCAGCACACCAATAATCAAGGGTTTTCGGTATTGAGGTTTTGCTTTGCAGGGTGTTGGCTTTCGGGCTTTAGGTAGGGCGTTGGCGCTTTGTTTGTGGTCAGTTGTTGTTGGGATTCGGCGGGTGTCGGAATTTAGGTTTCGAGGTTTGGCCAACCCACCGCAAGTATCCCTGGTCCGGTCCTTACTAGAGAGTATTTAGGTTCTAAGGTGTGGCTTCAGGTTTGGCTTTAGGGTTTAGGGTTGGCGGTCAAGGATTGATTTATGGGTTGAGGCTCTCAGGTTCAGGGTTCTCAAACGGTATGTTTGTCAGTCGTATAGGGCCTGCACACAGCCTCTTGTTGTCCTCCTTAGACCGTATACTACAGTGTCTGAGCTGGAACTACAGAAATGCTCAATCCCCCAAACCCCACAAAGCTTAAAATGCCCAAACCCTAAACCCTTAACCGTAAACCCAACGCCTACAATGCCACTGGGATCAGACTCAAAGCATCCAACACCTCGAATTCCCCATCCGGAACCGGTGATGATGGCTTCAGGTTAAGGGTTTAGGTTCTCTTTAGGCCCTTGCCCTAAGGGTCCAAAGGGCCCAGTAATAGGGTACTTTGGTTGCGGATAGTAGTTATCTGGATTAACATTTGGGAGCGTATGTGATTATTAGGTAGGTGGCCTCTTAGGGTTATAGCGGTTTAGGGTTTAGGGTTTAGGGTTTAGGGGTTTAGGGTGGTTATAGCGGCATTTATTCTGCTACCTCTATCAAGGGCGCTTGTGCGTCAGAAATCGACCACTTTTCCCCAAAACCCCTAAACCCCAAACCCCTAAACCCCTATAAGCCCTAATCTACCACTTATAACCTACCTATGGTCTCCATTGCAGTTCCTTTTTGGGGTTACCTTACAGGATCCTTAATATATAGTATTGGTTAAACCAAAAAAAAGTCCTTCAGACCTTCTAACCCCTAAACCCTAAACCCTAAACCCTAAATCGGAACGCAGGAAGTGGCGCTGCAGTGGACGGACCTCCAGGTTACCCGAAGGGTCCTGGGTACCTACGTGTAATAATATTGAGTACGATCAATAACACCGACAATACTAACAGTCATAGCAGTTATAGCAGTAATAATAAAAAATAGTCATAGCAGGAATACTTATAAGAAGAAGAATAATAGTAATAACAACAACAGTACTAACAACAGTAATTATAGTAATGATAGTAATAATAAGAGACGGGGGCTCTTTGAGGCGTTCTATACAGGCTTCTGTAATGGTCCGAGCTATTAGTGACTGGATATCTGCGTCTGGGTTAGTATAGTCCTGTGGATTAGTAGTTTGGGCAGTTTCAATCTTACTGTCAGGGCTGGCCGCTCTCCATGTCCATGGCAGTGCCGGTTTGTCGGTAAGGTTTGCGCCTTGAAATCACTACTAGGTACGGATATGGGATGATTCTTAGTGAGCCTCGAGCGCCCATGCAAACGGTCAGTGGCGCTCCCGGCAGTTTAGGGTCTAGGCCTTGCATAGGCTCTCAGGTTCCACCAGGTCTTACGCCGAAAGTTTATCGCAGCTCCTTTTTGTGTCTACCTGGGTTTAATAGTTTCCATAGCAAATCAATCAATGCGTCGATTGCAACATCATTAATTAGAGTTGTTTTCTACATGCAACCAATACGGGACCGACCGAGGCCCCCACCATGCCGCCTTTCCCAGGAGCCTCCGGAGACGTCATCGGCTACCCTCCAGCTACAGTTTACCTTCCCTGACTGGCCACTCCATGCACGCAGCATGCGAACTCGCCAATGCCCGCAGAGACGGGACGCGCACCGGCTGGACAGCAGTGGGTCGTCGAACACCGCCGCAAACACGGGGGCCAGTGGTGGGTTCCCTCCAGCCCTGCACCCTTTAGGCCCAAGCCAAGAATCTATCGGCGGACCCAGGATGAGTGCACCCTTCAGAATCGGATGCGAGGACTCGCCAGCATGACCACACTGTGCCAGCCAGCGGTGTCAACTGTGGTCGAGTTAATATGGGGGCCTTAAATAATTACCTATACTATTTTGGGGGGCTCCTTATTATAGTTATACAAAAAATGGGCCCCCAAACCCTATTCTAATTATTAAGGCCCCGACATTATGCACGGAGCTTCCTGTCCAGGAACATGTCGCCAGTGTTCCGATCTTGCAGATGGACGTTGTGGCCTCAGAGTCTCTGGGATTCTGGGCTTCGGCGGCTTTTGGGCCCTGAGCCCTCGAACCTAAGCCCTGAATCCTGGGCTTAGGTGTTTAGTGTTTAGGGTTTTAGTAAGGGCTTAGATTTCAGGGCAAGTTTCAGGGTATATGGCCTAAGATTTGTGGGGAGCGCCTGAGGCTTGTGTGGCGCATGAGTTTGAGATGAGAACTGAGGGTTTAGCTGTGGGAAGCCGTGGATACTACAGGAGCCTGAATATCTAGCAATACTACCTGTAGTCTATAGTCTCCATTGTAGGTCCTGTTTTGGGGTTGCCTTATCGGATCCGAACTGTAAAAATGGTCAAGCCAAAAGAAGGAACTACCATGGAGACTATAGGAACACCTGAAAGGTACCATGCTGTAACGTTTCTGAAAGCACCCAAAATCCCTGGTCTGTTGTTAACGAAGCAAAATATCCAGATGGATGAAGGTTTATCAGATTCATTGGCCTTGGGGTGAGGAGGTTTAGGGATGCAATCATGAGCTAGATTCTGTTGCCAGCAGACTGAGTTACATAATCCTGGATTATCCCGAATTCATATTGACGGTAAACGGAGTGTAGCATATTGCGAGTACCCTAAACCCTAAACCCTAAACCCTTCACGCTTTGACCAGCGAGTCTTGAAATCGCCGCCTCTCAATAAAAGGGTCCAGCAGACTGTGAGCTGAACTCGAAGTTTCGGCGTACCCGTTTAGGGTTTAGGGTTTAGAGTTTAGGTTTGTTCGCAAAACCGTCAATTGCCTGAACTTCAGGGCAGGAGGCCGGACAAGAAATATCAAAGGTGGGTTTAGGGTTCCATAAGGGTACGACAATGTTTCCATAAGGGCTACTGCAAGGGATGCGATCGGGGCCGGCTGAAAACAACAAAGCTAAGCACCTGGAGCCCAAGACAACTTCAGAGGTGCTCCAGCTGCGCTGCAAGCTTGAGGGCTTCATGGAGGCCAGGGGTCTGCAACGAAGCACGAAAACCAAAATCAGGGTTTAGGGTTTATAAGGTTTTGGGATTATTCAACCCTTACCCACAAAGGACTCATACTTTAAGGCTTTTGGGCCGAAAGACGCTATTGTATAAGGTTTCTGGGCTATTTTGATGCTAAGGGCAATTTTTAGGCTTGATCTGGTGCGTAGTCAGGGCATCAAGAGGCATCAAGAGAGACGCCGCCCGCGGCCCTAAGCCGCGGACTCCATCAGCAGAGGTTTGCCCTAACCTCCCAGATACCTCCTACATAGGGTACTAGAGCCCCTAGGGCCCTTTGTAGTAGGTACCTGGGGGGTTAGGGTCGGTTAGGGTTACATGCCCAAGATCCTTACGAGGCATCAGGGCAAACTCGAATCCTGATGCTCGGGGATTTATTCATCTGCATCTAGACATCTATGTATACATGTATATACTATGTATACAGACATAAGCAGATATATACATAAGTATATATACCTAGACCTAGGTATGGATCTACTTATCGGATGGTGCTATGTAGGGTCGCTAGGGGTAGTATTGGGCGTTACCTGTTATCTGCCCTTAGAGGTTCGAAAATCGATTTGGGGGTTCGTTGTTCGTGGAACGTGCCGCTGGAGGTCACCCTCAGACCTGAAGTTGGACACCGGTTTAGGGTTTAGGGTTTAGGCCTCCCCTAGAATGGTAAAGCTTGAAACTCGTATGCCTTTGTAGGGATGCAGAAGCCTAGCACTTCAGCACCCGATAGAGGCCCGAAGCTCTAAACCCTAACCCAGCCAACATTTCTCCGGACCAGCCTCTGGCAGAGGTCCTGAGCAACATGTCTACTGACATGCCGGGCGATGAGGCCAGGTCCCTAAACCCTAAACCCTAAACCCTAAACCTACATAGAGCGTCAAGGTGTGGGGTCTGATGGCATGTCTTTGGGGCTTGGGGTCTTGAATTTTGGGGTTTTAGGCTTTCCCATCGTATAGTTTAACAGGTTTTTGCAGGCTACCTATATTCGCTTGAAGTTTGTAGGTTACTTATGGTTTCGGGGGGGGGGGTTGAAAGGTATCGAGTTCCCGGGCGTAATGTTATTCGTAAAGATCTTGTCATTGAAGGGTCGAGCTTTTCCGCCGCTAGGGTCTGTTTTTTCTCTTCGCCGGGTTGAGCAGGAGATGTAGCGACGGCGCAAAGTTGCAGTTTAGGGTTTAGGGTTTAGGGTTTAGGGTTTAGGTTTGGTGTGCAAAGGCTTTGATCGGATGCCCTGTAAGGCCAAGCCCTGCAGGCTGGTATTGCTGAACCGTACACCATAACACGTAAACCCCAGCTCTGAAATCCTGAACCTTTCGCAGCTTCATTGACCTGTAGCCTCTAGACCAGACATTGCTAAGCCTCGCACAATCTAGCAGGCAACGCTGTCTTGTGATTGCTGGAGATGAGTATTGTTAGCACATTTTCTTTCAGTATCGTCTTGCGATTGGCACACCTTTCATATTGCTGTGGGCAATAGTGCATTAGGTCATGGCAGAGCCGAGAGACTGGACTATGCCTGATCAGGGTTTAAGGTCTCAGTTGCCGGAATTGAAACCCTAAATCCTAAACCCTAAGCCCAGCCCAAAGCCCAAGATCCTGAATCCATTCGGGCCGAAGATCGTAGCCGCCGCTATGTGTATGTAGGCTATAAGCCCATGGGACAACAGATCCTACCATGCCCTCAGCGCTGTTTCGGGTTTAGGGTACAACCTGAGCCCCAGATTCTGCAAGCATTCCGCGCTTCAAGCCCGAAATTGCGCATTTATCGGCCTGGCGGCCTCAAACGCATACAAGTGTTATATATATATATATATATACATATATATATATATATATATACATATATATATATACATATGGCCTAAAGCATTAAACTGAATGTCATCCGTGAAATGAAACACAATCCCTGAATCCTCGGACCCTACAGATTGCAAACCCCTCTGAGCACTGAAAACCTTAAGCCGACTGCCAGGCATGTAGCCCAAAGTGGGCCCAAAGCCCAGAAACCCCAAGCATCTCTAATCCTACACCCAACTGAATTCTGCCTGAACTGGAGATCCCCAACCATGCATCCTGCAAAGCCTCCCTAAACCCCAACCCCTTATTCTGATGACCTTTCTACTCACCCTTATGGCCCATGAACAAAAGAAGTTCGAAGTTTCGTTCGAAAGGTGATTTCAGAGCTTTTTGTCTCCGTGCAAGCGTGGCCAAAGCCTCAGATGACGAAGGGCACTGTGAGTTCAGGTAGTATAATCTAACGTAGTTACATAACACAATATGATATAGTAAACCCCAAACCCTATGTGAGAAGCTGGTAGCCCTTGAGGCCAGCGCGTCGCATTGGTAGGGGCAGCCTGATGAGTGGCTGTACTCGTCAGTGCAGGTGGGTATATTACATTGATCAGGTATAAGGTCAACACACAGGTCATGAGCGCCCAAGTATCGGGCTGCTGCGCAAAACACCGCTTGGTAGTGGGCTTGGTGGTTGTGGCCTACAGCTGTGGGGGGTTACTTCATGTCGGCTGCCGAGGGTCTGGCGGGCACATCGGGTGGCTTTTGCCAGGACGGTCGGGGTCATGGGTGGCATCACAGCGTGGCATTGCCAATGGAACTCTGTAGCCTCCACCTCCAAGGTCCGGGGGAGTTGAGGCTACAGAGTTCTGTGGAGCTGAGCCGTTAGGGTCCGCGGGAGTTCAGGCGTTAGGCTTCGTTCGGGTTCTTTCCTGTGACGAGTTGGCTCCTGGGGTAAATCTTTCCGTTGCGCCACCGGGTTCTACGGAGGCCACAGCCGAATCTGCACTACAACAAGGGTCAGTTTCTAAGGAACAGATCGCGTCTTTGATTCGTCAATGCAAGTGGCCAACAAGTAGGAAACGGAGGAAAGTTGAGCTCGAAAGCCAGGGTACTTTCATGCTCTGGGAGCCTATCCCCATGGGGGAGGGTTACAAGGGATCCTACAGTAGACCTTTCAGAGACACAGTCTCGTTAAGATCCTGAACAAATACATCAGAAGCGTTGCTCCGCGGGCAATTCAGCTATTTTGATTTCCGAAAATGTTCAACTTGGATGGCACCGAGATAAGTACAACCAAACTGAAATCGAAAACTGGGTTATACGTGGGTTCCTTTCAGGGTGGAGGGATTCGCCTGTTGCCGGAAGGGGTTAGGCTTCAAGAGGCCATGCTCAATGAGAAGCTTGGTTTGTTCCTTGACCCGTGTAAGGGTCCAGCTGCCTTTCGTGCCAGAAGGAGACACTGTGTGCTTCCCTACGAGGGCGATAGCATGGTTTTGGTTTGCTACACCCCAAGGTGCCTTCACCGGTTACCCTCGGAAGATCTTTTGGAGTCGTTGGGATTTCCGCTTCCTGATGCTTCGGATTTGAGCCTTCACAATGTGGACGTGAGGCCTAAGTCGGACTGCGTGGGAGACCGTGTGGAGCATGAAGTTGAGGATTATTATCCTTCTGGGGGTCATGCCTTCTTAGTGGGCTCACAGGATAGCGAGTGTCTGGAGGGTTACGCGGTGTTTTTGTCCCACGTTATCACTCCTGAGCGCAGAGCCGTGCTCGACGTCATTAGGGACACTGAAGATGACCCGTCACCGTTTGTAGGTGCTTTGGCAGGGCTTGAGAGAGAGTTCCAGAGTCTCGAGAAAGAGTTTACTCTCATGTCTGCTGCCGAAGTCTTGGACGATGACTCGCCTTCAGGCTTTGAAGGGATTTGTTTAGCCAGAACCAGGGCTGCAATGCTTGAGGCTTGTTCAAAACCATGGTCAGGGGTAGCTTCTATGCAGACTCCCGTTAGTGCTCCAAAGTGTCGTGAGGGAGTGGTCTTCTTGCATTCTAACACCATAGACCCGATGACCGTTAATTCAGAGATTGAGCTGTGGGTGCCCTCGCTGCTCGAGGAATATGTTGCATTTACCTCCCAGTATGCAGCAATGAGGCCAGTGCATCGTAGCGAGCTTAGCGAACAGGAGCTTGCGGAGGCTATCCCCTCAAAGGTTGTTTATGTTCGCAAACCTCCTCGAGGCATGAGGCGCTCCCGCATCATCGCCTGTGGTAACTTTTGTGCGAGTCCTTCGGTTTCCAATGAAGAGGAACTGGTAAAGCAACCATCCTTTGTGCGTGCCAGCAGGGTCCTGTACGCCGGTGGTGTAGATGCCATTTCCATTACAGTCCACCTTAGGCAAGCAGCTGTGTCAGCATGGGAAACCGCAGACGCTGATGTCCGCAAGGCCTTTGTGTACGCGCCGCTGTCCAGTCAGAGTAGCCACCGAGTGGTAGTGCGACCACCTCGAGTTCTGGTGCGAGCAAAGATAGTGGCTGACACAGAGTTTTGGGTAATACAGCGTGCCCTTTACGGGTTAGACATAGCCCCAGCTGCTTGGAGTTGGTACCGTGACTCAGAACTGCGGCTGTTAAGACGGACTTTTGGACAGCACACGTGCTTCTTCGAGCAGAGTGTGGCAGAGCCAGCTTTATGGCTGCTGAAGTTTGAGGGAAATGGCACTGCGCAGGGACTTATGTCGACATACGTGGATGACTTCTTCTGTCCGCATCAAATGCCCTTCTTGATGCAGCCATGGAAGCTTTGGCCGCCAAGTGGGAACTGTCAACGCCGTCGTTTGCGAGCACAGGTTGTCATTTTCTAGGTATTGACTTTACGATGCTCCCTTCCGGGTCGTACCTCTTAACGCAAGGCAGCTATGCTCGTGAACGGTCGTCGGTCTGACGTTGAGGGCCCAAGCGAGGACCCAGTACAGGAGAACGTGGACATGGCATTGCTGAGGGAAGCCCAGTCTTTGTTTCGCGGGCTCACGTGGATGGCCACTAAGACGCGGGCGGATATAGCGTGGTCCGTAAGTAGAGCTGCGCATGTTGCAGCTATAAGAGGCCCCACAAGGCTATCCAGTACTGCCATGCCATCCTTCGCTACCTCCGAAAGTATCCGGACCGCGGTCTCTTGTACCGCTCGGTGAGTGAGCTTGAAGATGCTGAGGCTGCTGGTCAGCTTCATGCCAAACCTGCCCTGGTTCAGATTGGACCTAAAGCTGTGTAGGCGGACATGGTTTTCCTGGTCATGCTTGTTCCTGCCAGTAGAGCTGGATGAGCGTGATTCTTGTTAGAGCCCCTACAACATGCGCATTCATAGGTACCATGGCACAGGAACACATGCATGCTCTGTAGTCTTCGTTGTTCCGCACCAGAGATCCTTGTTTCCAGTGGCGGAAGTGCCTGTTTGCATCAACGCATCTACATGCATTTTCTACCCCTTAAAGATCCTTTCGCAATGGGAGGTGTTTGTCGTAAGCTTCATGTATGATTCTTCTCAGATCATAAGGCCTTGAGCTGGATAGGTGGAAGTGATCTTCCACAGAGGTCCTTGCGAACGTCTAGTAAGCCATGAAGGGGCAGAGCGGCGCGGAGGGTCAACATAGCGTAGCATCTGTTCTTTGACACCTGGTGGAACAGAATGCCGTCCTATAGTATCTGTTCCTGAATGTTTCGTCGGGACGAAATCGGGAGTGTGAGAAGACTCGCAGGGGCACTGCGCAAAGAAGACGACACGCAGGCCTTCTTAGGATCGAAACAGGTGCTTCAGGGCTTAACAGGGTTGTAAGGGTGTTAGGTATTAACTTGGCTTCTAATCATTCCTGGCACCCTAGTCCTAGTCCTTAACCAATAGAGTTACAGCAGGGAGCACTCCTTCGCAGAAGCTGTGGAGCGGGGGGAGTGTGAGAAGTTGGTAGCCCTTGAGGCCAGCGCGTCGCATTGGTAGGGTCAGCCGGATTTGTGGCTGTACGGGGGGCAAAATACGTTGACCAGGTATAAGGTCAAACACACCTTAAACCCTAAACCCTGAACTATAACATGATATAGTGTGATACGACCATTGACATAAATTCGCAGAAGTTCTAGGGTTTGAGGGTTCAGGGGTTTCGTTGTTCGAAGCTCGGGTGCTCTGGGGGGCTCTTAAAGTCATAAGGAAGCTCTCAGGAGCCGCGCGAGATTGTGTCTGGGGTTTACGGTTTAGGGCCTGGGGCTTAGGGTTTAGGGCTTCAGGGGCTTAAGATTTAGGGGTTCAGGGGCTGAGGGTTTAGGGCTTCAGGGGCTTTGGGTTTAGGGTTTCAGGGGCTTAGGGTTAAATGGGTGGAGGGTTGAAGGGTTGGGTGGAGGGGCTTAGGGTTTCGGGTTAGGGTTTTGGGTAGAGGGGTTAAGGGTTAAATGGCTGGAAGGTTGAAGGGTTGGGTGGAGGGGCTTAGGGTTTCGGGTTAGGGTTTTGGGTAGAAGGGTTAAGGGTTTTGGGTGGAGGGATTAAGGGTTTCGGGTGGAGGGGCTTAGGGTTTTGGGTGGAGGGGCTTAGGGTTTTGGGTGGAGGGGCTTAGGGTTTCGGTGGAGGGGTTTAGGGTTTGAATTCCCGGCTCCCGGCTGTGAGACAAAAGAAAGCAGGAACGCCCAGTTGGCTTTGAAGTATGGGGCACTTGGGTAGTAGAAGTTTCGGCTTTGGGCAAATCCAATCAGCTCCATGTCCCTATAAACCGTAACACAACAAGCGGCACACTAAACCCTAAACCCCTAAACCCTAAACCTAAATAACCCCTAAACCCTGAACCCTAAAACCCTAAACCCCTAAACCCTAAACCCTTCATATCCTGAAATCGTCGAATCTGTAAACTCGGAGCGCTCAGCTCCATATTCCTGTGGATGGCACATCGAACCATTGCAAATCCGTTTTTAGGGTTTAGGGTCTAGGGGTTTGGGGGTCATAGGGGTTATAGGGGTTTAAGCTAGGGGAGCCTCCAAGCCGACAGCCCAAGCCATATAGCCGCCAGAGCTTTTAAGCCCTGAATTCGAGATGTTGGGAGACGGATCGGCAAAGAGGTCCTGAAAGAAGACCTCCGAATCTGGAAAGACTTCAACTTGAAACCCTGACCGCTGAAAGCCTCAAGAAGAAGAACAAGGCCTAACAGTTGCGGGCATACGAGTTCAAAGAGTTCGAGGTTTAGTATATAATAGGGATTTAGGGTGTAGAGTTTAGGGTTTATAGGGGTTCTGGCTTAGGTTTAGGGAGTCGGGTTCGGGCATCGCAAAAATAGGCCAAATCCTGAGCCCCACCTAGAGTCTCCGTAGTTCTTTTTTTGGCTTAAGCATTGTTATAGTTGGGGCAACACCCAAACAGAAACTACAATGGAGACTATAGGTACC